TACCTGTGGCTGTCTGGGGCTCTGTGGGGACCCCAACATTGCAGCCACGTCTCTCTTTCTCTTGCTTGGCCTTTCATCATGCTGATTCCTGCCTCTCAGACTTGGGGCTGATCCCATGGCCAGACTCTGCTTGGCTCCTGGGGTCTGTGCAGGATGATGGGAAACTTTTTCTCCTGCCTTGGTCCTGGTGTGCTGCCAGGGTTGTGGAGGACAGGCTGGCACAGAGCAGGGGGGACAGCAATGCCTGCCCCAGATGTGCAACCACCCCACAGCTGCTGCCATGCAGGGCTGCCCCAGCCTGGAGGAGATGTGCCCATGACATTTAAAGGTCTTTGTATGTAATGCGTAGATGAAATGTGGAGGGAGAGGGATTCTCAGGACACGTGTGCTGTTGGGCTGAGGTGGGCTTTCCCTCTTGTTTTTCTTATTAGAGCCGATGCCAGGAAGTCGGGGTGCAGGACAGGAAAGCCAGGATGCTGTGACCATGAAGCAGCTGAAGGTAGGTATGACAGGGCTCTGACCACCCAGGGTTGTGAAGACATGGGGTCGGGAGCTGGCTGGCAGTGGAGGGGTTTCAAACGAGCCAAGGGACAGAGTGTTAGTGAGGGTGATGCTGCGGTGGGAGCTGTGTCAGTCTCTGTTGACACCATCGCTTTTATAGGCAATTAGGTATCTCAACTGAGCACCAATTGGTGGAGGTGGGTGACCCATTGCCCTACAGGCACCTCCTGTTTTTTCGGTATATTGCCATGGAGACAGAGCACCAGCCATTGCCTGGGAGCGATGGGGACAGGGCTGGCTGCCTGCCTGTCACACAGCATCAGTCCCTGGCCGGCTGTGTGTCTCCATGGACGGGTGCGTCTGCTCCCCTCCTCCTTTCAGGGCCATTTGCTCTGGGAAGGGAAAGGCCCATAGTGGAGCCTTGGTGATTTATAGGAAAGGCAGCGGTGGGAAATGGGAACACAAACACATGACCTGCATCGGAAATTGGGCTCAGACGGCCCCGTGATTTATCTGTGCCGAATTCCGCTTTGCTGCTTCCCTCAGCTGCATTTTCAGTTATTTGTTTTAAAGCGTAGGATCGAGCAAGACAAAGCAAGCCAGCGCCCCTCTCCTCCCTTCCTCTCCAGCAGTCGCCACTGACTTGGAAGATCGTGGCTGGGAAGGAAGAGTGATCCTCCTTCCAGCTCCAGCCTGGTGGTGCAGCAGGCTGGGACAACGTGCCCGGAACAGCCCGGGTAGTGCCTGCGAGGGCCCCACCACACTGCCGGGACCCCTGGGCAGGCTGGGGCTTCCCCTGCTCCATCCCCAGCCTCCTGTGGCCCTGCCACTCCAGCTGCCGCAAGGGAGCCTGGGGTTTGGGTTCCATTGAGCCTCTCCTCTCTTTTCCATCCCCATGTAGGAGTGTGGAAGATGCTTCCTTCTCCATTGCAAGCCCATCTGCGAGGGGCTGTGCCGCAGCGCTAGCCATTGGGGCTGCACCGCGCAGGCTCCCCGCATCCCGCTTTGCACCCCGCTGCTGGCTGGGTTGAGAGTTTCTCTTTGTCTTTAGTTCCAAAATTACACCGCGGGTACGATTCAGTTGACCTCGCTGCTTCCCCCTCCATCACTCTGTGAGCACAAAGCATCAGGACGCATGTATCCTCTGGGTCTGTGCTCTCAAAAACAAACTCTGCTTTTTCCTTTTTTTTCTTGTTTTGTAAAAAAAAAAATCTCTCTTATCCTGTAACGAGCGCAAGGCGTCTTTTTAATGAAGTGAAGCTCACACAGCCGGTGCCTGTGAAACGCTGCTTAAACATCCTCCAAGTGTTTGTGAGAACATTGCAATAACAAAGTGCGGCTGAAGAATGCCGCGGGAACAAAAGCCACATTAACAGAGCGGGGACTAGGGAATACTAAAGAGTTGACAGGAATTTTAATATAAAACTCTCTCTCTTCCTTGTCAGTTGGGGTTTTCAGGAAGCCCTCTGGCTTATCGTAAAGCGGCATACAGCACAGACAGGGGCTGGGGAGGTGAAAGGTGGCTTCCTGCCATTCTTCTCTGGAGCTGGGTTCCCATGGGCGGTCATGCCAGTTTGACTGGGGTTTGTTCCACACTCGTGTGATACGAGGAGATCGGGATTACAACTGCTCCAGGGACTGGATTTTCATGGGCTAACAGCGAGTTTAGGGTTTTCCAGCCATGAACCGCTTCAATGGACTCTGCAAGGTGTGCTCGGAGCGGAGATATAGACAGGTCTGTATCTCCCGTGGGGAAAAAACCCTCTGTGTGCCAACATGTGTGTGTGTTGCTGCAAATCTCTGAAGTTTGAGTGTCTGTGGACATTCTTCCCATTTCTGGGCTCTGTGTGTGCTGTTTCTAAGGTGTCGATTTGCTGTCATTATCATTTGTAAATGATAATACTGGGATTATAAGGAAAGCATCTGGAGATGCTGATCTCTGCCCCTTACTGCAGTGCAAATGGGAATAGAGGGGGATTATTTACTGTGTGCTTAGCGATGACAGCACTAAGCTGTGAGGTGTTGTGTCAATTAGCCACTCATTAGAGGAGAGGCAGGTGCAGCAGGCAGCTAAGTCTCTGCCAGGCTGCTGCTATCTCTTTTTTAAATTGTTTTAATATGAATGTATTTGGGAATCAAGTGTTGCTTGAAGCTCGTTACAACCAACAGTGACTTGCTCTAGGAGAAGTAGGTTGCTGTGCCCTGTAAAAAGCTCCAAGTGCTCTTGGACCCGCTTGGTGTGCGACACCGGGCACTGGTTTCGCCTGTGCTGGTCCCAGTCCCATGGTCTGGACAGGGCTCCCGGCTCATGGTCAGCTTTCCTCTGCAATCCTGTGCTGATCTTTCATGTCTTGCTAAAGCTGTGGTGGGGGAACCGTGTATACTGGGAATTGCACAAAGAACCAGCTTAACTAAAAATGCCCACTTCTTATCAGGGCTGTAGTGACCGTCACATCCAGGAATGCTGCTCTGCTTTGTATTAATGACAACTGACTGTGATTTGTGCCTCAGACCTCCTCAACTCTCTATTTTGACATTTTTTTTCTGCATTTTTGGACAAAGTTATGGGTACAGCATGCCTCCGCAGTGCTGGAGTCTCCCACCACCTTCGCACTCACCTTTCTGCCTATGTCAGATGCTCCTATTTCTTAGCTCTGTGCACCGCAGCAAAAAAGGCTGTTCAGCTCCCTGTAACGGCCACGGTGGTGGGAGCTGAGGGCAGTGAACCATCAGCAGTGAGAAGCGGCTGTTTAGTGGCACAGGGAAGGTGTCTCTGCTGGCGGGGGACAAGAGCCAGCCAGCTCAGGGTGAAGGAGCGGGACACCTCTTGGCATGGAGAAAGCTTTGGGCTGGGCAGTGACTGTGGGGTCTGCATGGTGGGAGAGATGCTGGGCTGGCTCCTGAGGTGCCAATGGTAGCGCTTCTGCAGGACTCGGAGCCCCGTGCTTAGATTTGGGATGTGAGGCTGGCTCAAGGGCGCAGAGCCACAAGGAGTCTCCTCCCTGCCTGAGTATCCAACAAACTTCAGAGACAATAGTACTTGGTGTAGTGGGACTGGACCTACTTTCTGATCCTGCCAGGGAAAGACAGTTTCTCTTTTGAAGTCTGGTTTTATGCTGAGCAACCGCACAGGGACAAAGTGCAAAGAAATGAAAGTGCAGTGTGTTTTCCCTCCTTTGTGTTAAGGAGCAAGGAATCCGTTCCCCTCCTTGGTAGCTTCTGCCGAGTTCCCCATCTTTTCTCTGAGTGTTTGTTCTCAGAATATTACAGGTCAGATGTTGGATTTCTTTCTTTTCTTTTCCTTGTCAGTAAAACAAGGATCTTGACAAATGCCTTGAGGGTTAATCAGGTATTTACAGGAACTCTCATGCTGAGGTGCTGCTGGAAGCCAACATCAAAAAATAAATGTCATTTTATTAATAAGCTCAGTACTTCTTGAATCAGGAGAAATGAGCCTAAATCAACACAGCATCCATCCTCTCCAAACTCGGCGAGAGAAAACATACCCCAGGTAACGGGGTGATGCATGCAGAGCCCGCTCCAGCACAGATGCCTTGCAGGCAGGAGCGTGCTGATCCTCGTGGCTTCCTCTGGAGCAGGAGTGCCGCTATTTCTGTATCGCCCGGCTGGGAATTAAATGTTTAAGTGACTTGCTCAGAGGAGCCGTGTTAGAAGTCAGAGCCAGGCTGCCAGGTTTTCCTTCTAACGGCTTCTCAGACCTTCCCTTACGCTTGCAAGAGTCACAAGTGGAGACGAGTATATGCTCAATAAACCCTCATTTTGCAGCATTCCTCTCTGTTGATCCTCGGGATGATTTCGCATTGCTCTTGGCACCCTTTCCACCCCACTTTGGCTGCAGCAAGCGAGAGACCCCTTGCCCGTGGGGTTCGCAGAGTGGCAGCGTTCACCGTGATGGTCTGCGACCACTTGTACAAGTGCCGTGTGTGTGTTTGCAAAGGCTGTGGCACAGCGCATGGGTGAGAGGGGGGATGCTCGCTGATCACACGCAGCAGCTGCTTTCCCACGTAACTGAGCGACTCCGGTGTCTGTCTCCAGATTACAATCCCTCGAGGAAGTGATGGGTTTGGCTTCACAATCTGCTGCGACTCCCCAGTCCGTGTGCAGGCAGTGGACTCTGGTAAGAGATCAGATCTTTTTTATCCCTTTTGGTTTGAATGAATGACTCTGCTCTCTTTTGCTTCCCAGATCATGTTGCTTCTGCCGTGCAGAAATCTGGTTACCTCCAAGAAACTGCACTTAATGAATTCTCTTTTGCCTCTAACAAGGTCAGAGGCTGCTGGGTTAGAGCTGTGTCATTATTTTGGCAGTGTGTTGCAGTGATTTTCAGAGATTTTGTTCCCTTCCCTCTCCAACCTGAGAACTGTCTAGCTGGTTGGGAGACCTATGGAAAGGATCCAGGTGGGGAGAAGGATCACAGGAGCCCTCAGTTGCCTGAGTAGATCCTCTTGGTGTGTACCTCAAGGATGGAGCTGGTGTCTCCCTTGTACCCTGGTGCTCCCCACTGCACACCAGGAAACATGGGAAGTTCGTGCAACAGCTCTGAGAGAGCATTTGTGGCTTTGTTTGTCCCAGGAGCTCTGTGTGTGTGCGTGTGCATGTTGGAAGGGGAAGCTCCAGGCTCAGCTGGCCCCATTTCATTTTCAAGTGTGGATGTTAGGGGAGTGGACTGCATTTGGAGGAGTGAGGGATGCAAGCTGTGGAGCTGTGTTATCTAGGTGACCACTAGCCCCCTGGCTTCTCCTCCCTCTGTCCTCTCAGCCCCTGTCCAGCAGGTGAGTGGCATTTGTCTCTTCTCTCTGCAGGTGGCCCAGCAGAAAAGGCCGGTCTGCAGCAGCTTGACACAGTGCTGCAGCTGAATGAGCAGCCCGTGGAGCACTGGAAATGTGTGGAGCTGGCACACGAAATCCGGCGAGTATTCACCCCATGCATCAGTGAAGGGCTCTGGGAGAGACAGTTTGAGGGAGCACAGGGCAGGGCAGCAGGAGCTTTCAGTAGCTACAGGAAGGGGAAGGCGTTGCAGGATGCAGGAGACTGGGAGTCTCTGGAGTGGAAAAAGAAAGGATGCAGGGGCTGGGGAGGGCAGGACAGGGCAGAGGCAGTAGAGGGAGGAAGGACTGTAGGGCTCATGGCTCAGGGTGCCTCGCTCTACTGCTCCATCTCTGACTTGCCCCACACCATCTTTTTCAGGAACTGTCCCACTGAGATCATACTGCTGGTCTGGAGGCTTGTCCCACAGGTCAAGTCAGGACCCGAAGGCATGACCCGCCGGTCGTCCTGCAAGTCTGCTTATGACCTCCAATCACCACCCAACAAGCGGGAAAAGAACAGCACCATGCCCCCATGGCCCGAGCAGCGCCGGAGCTGCCACATACTGTATGACGGGAGTGATGGGCTGATGCTTAACGGCTGGGAGAGGTACACGGAGATAGGCAAGCGGAGCCAGAACACCATGCCGCCCCTGTCTCGGGTCCCCTCCTCTGCAGACCAGAACTACATCATCTTAGCACCCTTGAACCCAGGGAGCCAGGTAGGGCTGCTTTCCAGACCCACGCTTAAGTCACTGTGTGTGGCTATTGCCTCTGCTTGCTGGCTCCTCTCTTGGCCTGTGCTTCAGCCTTCTGGAGCATCATCTCTGAATGTTTGCTAGAGCACATGCCATTTTTCCAAGTGGGACCTGTGTCCCCTGGTGGAGCTTTCACTAATTTCCTAAAACATTTACCACTAGGTCTGTAATGGTAAATGACCTGCTGCCTCCTCTCAGGGCTCACTCATGTGTAAACGCATGTGTACGCTGTGTAAACTACGTTGCTCTCATTTTCCACTGCAGCAGGGCAAAAATTATTTTCCACTCTCTGGAGACCTTTGGCTCTGCTGGGCTTGGCATCCTAAAATTCACAGTTGGTGGTTGTAAAGTTACCTCAAGTCACCTTCAGGTGACTGTGTCCTTTCTGGGTTGTGTCTTACAGCTGCTGAGGCCTGTCTATCAAGAGAACAACACTACTGTGGGTAAGTTGCTGATGTGCTGAAAATGCTGCTTGGAGCACCTAGCAGAGCTAGACAGGGGTCTTTCTAGCACTATTGAGTCCTTGACCTTAGCCCTGCAACGCTGCGATGGAGTCCTTCACGTTTTGACAGTGGCAGAAGCCTGGAGCTTTTGGGTAGCATAATCTTCCTACTGTCTGAATCAAACATAAAAGCAAGAACCCCATCCCCAAGCCCAGAAGAGTACACGGCTTTCGGGTCACTGAATGAGCCCTATGGCAAGAAAGTCTCTGGGAGCTCAGAGTGGCTGAAGGGAGGCTACAGGCAGGGACTTTCCATCAGGGGCACGATTGAAGTGTGACAGTGCTAAGCATTGCTTTTGTGGCAGTTCCTGGGTGTGTCTGTGGGCCTGTCCATGATGTGATTCCCTTCTTGTGCATGATGCCGTGCTAGGGGAGTACTTATACTGTGGTCCCTGCTTAGAGGTTCGTTTTATTATTAAGGGAGTGAGGGTGGCTGTGACTTGGATTTGTACAAACAGTAGTGCAGGCTGATGCACCAGGTTTGAGCATACTCATTTCCTGGGTGGCTGCAAAGTCCTTAGCGGCCTGTGGACCTGATGTCCTCAAAAACCCTTTGAAGCATAAACTCCTTTTCTGCAACAGGTATGCTTGGGGTCTTTCTGGAGAACCGGCTACAGTTGGGCTTCAAATCAACATTGCCTGCTTATTGATTTGGGAACTCTGGGAGGCTGCGCTTGCCCTTGGTCTGTTAGGATGTCCTTAGGATGAGTTGTGTGTCTGTACCAGAGCTGACCTCATAGTCATAGTATAATAGAATCACAGAATGGTT